ATTCACAGGCAACATGTTTACAGTGCCAATCTGTGAAGTTTGGCATACAGTCAGGGAACAAGACCAGTACACTCCATGGAGGACAAAGACAATAGTACAGCAAAGCATATGTGTACAGAAAATCTTTGTCAAACAACAGTAAGCTTTTAGCAAATCCCTGTCCCATGAACATGTTAGTGTGTCTTTGACGGTGAGCACTTACTAACACTTTTCATATGCAAAGGCTCCTTGCTCCCAAATCATCAGCTCACAAACTCTTTTAGTGTATTTAGTGTAACAGAAGTTTTGATGGTTAGCATGTTGAAATAAAAATGTATCTAAAAGCACCCATGTTATCTGACAACAATTAAATATAGATATATTCAACTGCAGTTATTTGGGTTCATAAAGCAATATATGCGAAATTTGTTTTGCTTTACACACTGGTCTGATTTTTGCTTTTTTGTATCTACCTCAACCACTAAACTTCTCTTCAAAGTGTGACGATGCTGTAGTGTAGCACTTTTTGGTCATTAGATCATAACTCACCCAGCACAGCTGCATGAGTAGGTTTCACACAGGATTAGGACAAAATTAAAAAGTTACTTCATATGACCTAATTGAAATGTCTTTTTTATGATGTACAAGTAGATACTATATGCACATTTTTAAACTCTTTCTTTAATTTTAATTGCCATAAGTGAGGTAAAAATAAGTGTAAAATAAAACACTGAATGGAAAGTAAAATAAATAAGGACATGTCCTCAGCTTGCAACTTAAAAAAATCTTGATTCCTTCAGCTATAATGGAACATCAACAATTTGTTGGTGTTTTTCATGCAGATCTAAATCCAGGCTCGGTGTTCTGCAGAGCAGACGTTATTTTCTCTCAAATTGTTTTTGATTAGTTTGCTTTTCATCTGTGTGCAGATACTGAATGTATTCCTGAGGATCTCCAGTCCTGCTTTTCAGAAATCATGCAGCCTGGATACAGAAAGTTAAGCTTTTTCCTGTGTTCCTTAGGACACATCATTTTCGGTAGATTTATCTCCAAATCCTTAAACAGCTTCAAATAGATACTGTTTTTTCAAAAAGTAACCTGCACAATATCTCCTCCATTCCTGAACATGGTCTGAAAATGAGAGCCACACAGCACTGGAGGAGATGAGCACCAGGCTGGGAATGCATTTTCTGCATTTGGCAAAAGATAAGGGAAACATTATTTTTGCCATGAACTATTAGGTGGTTGTTGAATCTAACAATTTTGAGTCACTGAAATTCCCCGTGGGCCTCAAACAGATAGTCCAATTTCCATTGAAAAAACACACTTCAGATTTTGCTGTTTACATAACCTTCATATATATCTATAGAGTGGATATTCATGTGTATGCATAAGTTTAAAGTTATTTTCTAAGGCTGAGTCAGGTGAGTACACCACCGTGTAACTGAGCACAAAGGAAGGCATTTATGGTGGGTCTTTCATTAGTGTCAGCTCATTTTTCACTGCAAACCACATCGCAGTGTTAACATTTTAGTTCAATTTTTCCCAGCGGCAAGAAAACAGAATTAGTATTGCCACTTTTTAGAATGAAACATGTCAGTAACAGATACTGCAATGATGAACTTAAAATAAATAATTACATAGATAGTAGCTTTGCATGAAAGTAATTAGTTTTGCATTAATATGTTGCTTGAGATTTCATTTGGAATTAGTTAATGATTTTCTAGATTTGCATATTCCTAATTATTTGGTTTTAAATGTTAGCTATATACAAATTAATGTTTTATAAATTTTCAAAATTTTTACCAGGCACATTTAATTTATAATTTAGAAAAGCATTTATAACCTACTTTATGTGAAGAAAATAGATTGAACTTGGGAAAACAGTTTTGGCAGATCACGAAAATCATGAAATTTTGTAGAATGTCATCCAGAGCATAATTTTCCTATTGAAACCAAGCAGCTGTGAGCTAATTTGTACATAATGTGAGTTAATAAGCAAGGTGATATTCTTACAGACTTTGAGGTATATTCTCATCTTATCTGTTCTTCTGATCTAAAATTATTTTGCTAATTTCAGGGTACTGCTTTTGATTTTTATTAATGTACTGAAAATATAAAACAGACCTCAACAAGACCTCTGGTTAACCTTACACCTAATTTAGCCTCTAGCATAGATTGGAGACATCTTCACTGCATACTCTAAAACTATTGTTACACAAGTCCAGAAGAACTTCTTTCTATGCATTATTTTCTAACAACAACAGGAAATCATGATAAAAATAATAGAAAAAAAAAAATAAAAATCCCCCATTCTATAAAGCATTCAAACTTTTGCCTAGGTATGGGTTTCAGTAAGGGATCATTTACATGCATAAGTGCTTTATATGACTGGTACCGTAAGGCTAAACTGCTCAGTGCTACAAAAGCCTGAAGATAGTTTAGCACTCAAGCCTGGATTCATAACAAGAAACGCATTCAAGTATTATTAAGAGGGGATTGCAATTTTCAGAACAAAGCTAGATAGAAACCTGTTGGCAAACATATCACAAACAGGACAGGTATAGGAAATTAAACTGGGTCAAAAATGCTCACCAATATACTATAAATACAACCTTTCCTGCAACATAAGTGACCATAGGAAAGTCAGATGTATTAGAACTGTGTGGGGTTAATTTCCACTGTATCAGAACAAACACAGAAAAACTAAAACCGGACTATGTCATGACAAAAGCACATGCCTGAATGGAATTGACTGCAGCATTTTTGCTGCCTAAATGCCCCCAGGCACTGTGAGGAAAAGGGTCACAAGTAGGAGAAGGAAAAAAATGCTAAGTAATATCATCATAGCTTTTAGTTTTCCAAAGTGCAAACTAAAAATACAAATTAATTCATTTTCTTTAAAATTAATTGCATAAGATTTGCTTTATTTTTAACAGTACCAGTTTTATATCAATAGAGAAATGCGTTCTCCCAGTGACTTTCCATACATTTCATTGGTATCTTGGCAGAATCATGGCCTTATATACAAATTCTTCATGACAAACACAGTTCTAACATCTTTGTGTGCTACTATTATGAATTATCTATTGGTTGAAAAATACTACGTAATTTAAATGTCTATGATCAACTATCTAAAGACAACTTTCATAAGCTGTTTGAAGTAGCATAAATGAAAATTTTTTGAGATTAACACATTTATAAAACACATATCATGAAAGTGCAAGCTTGTCAAAAGTACATGTCATTGAGGGAAATATGATGGAATTCTGAATACAAACAAACCAAAAGATCAGTAGGTTACTATTTTCACTGTGTCAAAATCCATTATTATTGGTTTATATTTAGATTATGTCCAATGTATGAAATATATTTTTCTAGTAGCATGATAAAATTAACGACACAAGGAGTATGAAATTATGTCAGGAATATTCTATTGTGTGAAGCTTTTCAATTATTATTTTCTGACAAAAGTCAACATGAAAATCAAAAATTGCTAAGCTAGCAAGGGGCAATGTTGGACAGCAGTGTGAGTTCTTTTTCCTTGTAACTGTTCCACAAGAAATCAGGTACTAAAATAACACTAGTATTCTGTTTATCTGAATGCATTAGCAGTTAATTTTTTGTACAAAACGCTGTTGTTATTCATGATGCAGGTATTTTAGAAACTGAGCATGTAGCAGCAAAGTTCTCCCGTTGTAAAACCCCGGTCTGATATCACAGAATTCACAAACATACAGCTATGACCAGTGGATTGAAAGTAGTAAAATAATGCCAAAATCCATGTATTTCCTTACGGTGTGTCATGCCTTAAAGCAGCAGTAACACTTGAGTTCTGAGGTCAGAAAGCAATGCTTGCACCATTTCAAAAAGCTCCCACCCACGAACTTCAGCACTTGATCTCCTCAGCTTCAGACCAAGTCAACAGCAAAGCTTCTCTTGTCTTTTACAAGAGTGGTAACATTAATTTGTCTTTCCTTGTCTCTAACAATTGTAATATTATTTTCTTTACTCATCTGCTGCAAATTGACCTAGACAAGACTAAAATTTGGAGATTTTTCTCTTTTCCCTGCACATGAAAAAAATTACAGGAATCTGTCACATTGCTCCCATGGGAGACACTGTTGATGTAAAGAATACAGCATTAACATAGCCAGCTTCTTAGAATTCAGCTTCCACAAATAGTGCTGATGCTTCTGCTGGTAAAATTTAGTTGCAATGATTTTTGTAGGAAGAAAGAGGGACTTAAGTGTCTGAGACAACTTAATTTGTATAAGTGATCACAGAAAGATTTTTCCAGTATTTTTTCCAGCAATGCAAGTAAGTATGGGATATTTCTTCTTTTGTCAGCTGAATTAGTTAAAGTCTGAAATTTAATATTTGGGTTTTTTTCAGTTGTGTCCTGGAAACTTTTATCCAGTATTTTCTTTGATTTAATTTTCTATCACATCAAAATAAGCTACAGAATCAGAGTGTTAATAAACTAACCAGTAAAAATCTTTGTTGTTACTTTGTGAAAATCTTTTTCTTACTCTGCTGAGGGGTCAGACCTTACTGTGTGCAATAGCTTTCCGTGAAACGAGTTGCTTGTTGATCCAGACTTACATAGTCTTTGATTTTTGTTCACCTGTTCAATATACAAATAGAAGAAGATTGTAATTTGAGGGCTGTTTTAACCCTTTTCTGATAGAGGGAGAAAGATAAGTTTTCCTAATGCTTTGGTATTAACTGTTCTACACATGGCACGAGCAATAATAGGATCAAAACAAATGCTGAATTTGAGCTTTAGAAGCAAAATACTGCAACAACAACAATGGAGTTAATGTGATGAGACAAAATGTTTTCAATAGTGTGTTCTGTGCTTAGGAGCTGTGTTTTTATACAAGTTGTTTTGGTTTTTTTTAGGGAGTTTAGTAATCAAAATCAGCTGCCTTCCCAGCAGCCCCTACGTACATTTCAAAGGCAGTATAGATGACTACTGAAAGAAGAGAATAAATAAATATTCCTTTTTTTTCTTGTAGAATCAGGTGATCCACACCCTCCAACTTGCAGTAGTGGCCAGTTCACATGTGCATACATGCAGCAGTGTTTGCCCCTCGCTGTGAAATGCAATGGGGCTGAAGATTGCATGGATGGAAGCGATGAAACGAACTGTCCCACGGACATGCCTGCCACCATGTCTCCAGGCTCCTGCAAGCAAACAGAATTCCTGTGTCCTTCCGAAGGCTGTATCCCATCCCTGCTGAAATGCGATGGTGTGCCTGACTGCCACCTTAACGAAGATGAAGTGGGCTGCCGTAAGTTACTTTCATTGCTATAGTTAAGGCGATGCTAATTTACTTTCCTAAAACAGTGGTGTGAAAAACTGCAACATAATGAAATATAGTGTAAAACTCACTATTCCCTTAACAAGAAAAATACTATTTGTATCACATATAATGTGTTACCTGGAGAGATACTCTATATTTGCAAATAATGCATTCTTATTCCCTGGCTACCAACTTTGATAAATGTTTAAAATCATTTGCATTGTATTTCTGTTAATATTTGGAAGCATTTCCATTTTTTTCCATAGATCAGTCAGCTGCATTTGCATTGCCTCATCTCTGATTACAATATGAGAGATAGATAGACTTTCACAGTGCTGTTACTCAGTAACATTCAAGGCAGGACTGATCTTTCAAGGATTTTGAAGTCAAGTCTGGTCTGTGCATGCCTTTCTAGGCAGTTCTGTTTAGAAGAGGGCTCTGTGTTTTTTTTTGGCTAAAGACATGATTTTGGAGATATTTCTTAAACTCTACATGCCCCAGAGGCATGTAGAAATTTCACATGTCCCTATGTTCAAATAAACCTCTCCTCATTAATCCTCATTTGGCCGTTTCTGCCTCAACCTGTCCTCTATTAGAGACCTCCCTGCTGTATCCTAGAACATGAACATCCTAACTCCACACACAGCAGCTAATCCAGTTCTAAAATCCCAAAATCCAAAGACCACAAGATTTCCATGATTATCAGTATTCTCCAAACATCTGAGATATTGTTTCCTTGCCTTTGACTTCTAAGCAACTCCCAGGCAGTGGGGGAAATTATGTCCTGATTGATTCAAAGAACAAAACTTCTCCATAGATACTGCGCACCTTGAGGTTCTGAGTGGGGTGGAAACTTAATTAAATCTGTAACTGCATTGTTAACCAAAATTCAGTTTTCGCTACATAAACACGTAAGTGTTGACAATCTAAAATAAGAATACAGAAACAGCAACTCATGTTTCTTCTCTGAAGAAGATACTGGTTGCAGGCAAAGCAGTTAGTGGTAGTTTGGAACCAGTGAAAAGCTGATTACTGTCAAAGCAGGTTCTCCCATTGAAATGTATATACCATGAGAGTGCAGTATTTCATCTCTAGCTGCCTACTTTTAACATGTGAATCACCATGTAAGTTTGTCAACAGAGAAATTCAGAGAGAGAAAAAGTAACTATCTCAAAACTTTTATTCATTTTATTGAAATTTCTGCATAGTCCATTAAATTGATTGTTGTGCTACTAAGTCCAGCCTATCTGTACGCTAATAACAGGACAAATTGCGAGTGGGATTTTTCTTCAGATTTTAAATTTTTCTTTTTTTTTTCCTAAGCAGTTATGCCATAGGTTACAGTGTAAGGTGTGCCCAAAAAAAAGTATTCTATTACCACCAGCTGATTGAGCTGGTCCCGCCCAGTCTGGACCCTTGCACACAGTGGACGGAGATAAAGTCCCAGTGGTACACACAAGAGGTATGTTAGGAAAGACTGGATTAATCCCACGTCAGGCTAGGGCATACTCCTCCATGGGGTTGTTTTTGCTCAAGGACCTGGTTACACTTGGTGGGTAATGCAGAAAAATGGGGAAACCCGTTGTGTACCACAAGGGGAACCTAATTTTAAGTGAGAACTCTGTGTAAGGTTTCATTGTGTATATATGTATATAAGTATCTGTAAGGGGGCATTGAGTTGGGTATAGTGTAGATGGTATATGTAGATATAGATGTAG